AGTTTCCTCATCTGTAAAATGGGGATAAAAATAACACCTACCTCGCAGGGTATTGTGAGGATTCAATGAGTTAATACATGTAGAGCACTTTGAAGTGATTATAATGCTATATAAATCCTAGGTATTATTAAATGTTCATGCTTATGTCCATCTTCACAAATGAACCACTAACAAAACTTCAGATAACTTTAGATGTATGTTTAGTAGTAAAATGGTAGACTAAAACTCAAATAATGGAAAACCTAAACTGTTATGGCTGAAGAAGTATGTCAGGAGAGAGGGGGGAAATAGGATATATAAATCAAAGGACAGTCCGATTGATTGCAAATGCACTGGGTCTGGAGTTGGAGAACCTGTGTTTGTAGTCCATGTCTCCTAGTGACTCTCACTGTGTGATCTTGGGTAGAAGATAGCCACTGTGAGCCTCAGTTTTCTTACCTATAAAATGGGGGTACTTAAATAGAAGATCTCTAAGGTCCCTTCCAATTATAAATGCTACCATCCTCAAACTAGATGATCTAAGATGCCCGCCAGTTCCAGATCCTATCAGCAAGTCTACCCAAGGACATAAATCATCATAATTTCCCAATTACTTGTTTTATTTAGATTACAAATTTTTTATTAACTTGAAATCTTTATTTTATGGGGTCCATTAGAAACTGATAGGTAATGTTTATACACAGCATATGTAGATACATATCTTACAAATGCAAACACATATTACACATTTGTATATTTGCATTGTGTGTATGTACAATGTGTTCATTTATGCATACATGTGTATATATGTATTATAAAATATATAGTATATATACACATATGTATATATACATATATAAACACACAGACACACACATATATATCACACATACACGCACACACACGCACACATATATAAACAGGGTATCCTAAAAGTCTTAGTACAGTTTTAAAATTTTATAACTTCAGAATTATAAATGCTACAAATTTACAAAAAATATTTCAAAGGTTAATTATTTACATTTTACAAATAATTGATCTGTTTTTTATTAAAATTCAACTTTACCATCTTCTTTTGCTATCCATTGCTCTAGTCAATTTTTGAACCTTGTAAAAATTCATCAGCTCTTGCTCTGAACCTGAAAGGACTGTATTTGCAATCCTGGCTTTAAGATCACTCAAAGGAGAAAATTTTGATGCATACACAACAGTTTTGATGTGTTGCCATAAGAAAAAGTCTACTACAGATAGATCAGGTGACCTACTCTATCCAAGCACCAGTCTGAGAAAGCATCATCCAGAAACTGTCACAAATGCAACACAGAATGACAATATTCTCTGTCTTGTTAAAACTAAACATTTAAATATATTATTTAAAATTCACAAAGCTAAACAAGTGTAAAATAAACATACATAATTCAAACTTTCAAATTACTTTTTTTGTAAGTTTGTAGTGTTTATACTTCTGAGGTAATCAAAGCTTGAAGATGCACTAAGATTTTTGGGACACCCCCAAAGTATGAATCTACAGAGAAAGAATGAGAGAAGAAGGGGAACATTGCAAATTGAGCTTCATAGGACTTCCTAGAACCAGCTTAGAACTTTTAGGAAGTATCACCAAACTAGCCTGACGTTAACTATCTTGGCCTATGTGAGGAACTTCCAGAGCAGCCAAAGCACTGGAAAAAAACACAAAACATTTTTAAATCTCTTCAGGTCATTGAAGCATTTGTCTCTTCTTTCACACCTGGTAACGTACTGATCCTTAGGTCTCTGTTGCTCTTACTGCTAACTGCATTGAATACTCCTACACTTAACATTAGCCACAGGATTCAACAAAGAAATACAGGAAGAATAATGACCAATAATGACACCTGCCTGCCAAGGCCATTGGGAGAGATAATGGGGACAATGGGGATGACCCCTACTGCCATCAGCAGGGCACCTACAGAAGAGCTACCTATTCAGGACTTCAAGTGATTGGAAATTTATGAATTCTGCAGGCTGTATACATTAAAAAATTACAAGGGTTTCAGCTTTTTGAGGTTTTGTTTTGTTTTTCTTTGTTTTCTTTGGCCTTTCAATAGAACTTCTAAACTTTTTTGAACTGTGTCCCTGCAAGGGAGGGGGGGGAGTAGTAACAATACCTTGGGTAAGTTCAAATACGGAGCTTTCCCAATTTGCTTTTTTCGGGGAGCAAGACAGAGAGGTAAGAAATGTCCCCTGATACATCCAGATCTTTTGTGTTCTCTGACACAAACTTCACAATCATTAATTTTTCTATTCTTCCCTTGAGTTATGTAAGGGATACTATGCCTGTTAAACCTAAAGCCATCATTATATGGGTTCACCTTGTACCCATTATTATTATATTAGGTCTCAATGTATGGAAAACTTCACTTACTCCTTTGTCTCCATTCAAAAGGTTGGGGAGGGAGGTTAATCTAAATATGAGAGAACAAAATATGAGCTCTGTCTAGAATATTGGTAAACCATGTGGCTGCCCCAGAAACTCGGATGTTCCCTAAGAAATTAAGAAATTCCAGGTTTTCAAGTTTGCAGATACACACATACACATACATACACGTATGTATGCATATGTATACATAATATAGAAAATAATATACCAAAAATGTTATTTTATATATAGCAGCATATAGGTAACCACATATCACATATTATGTATCTGGGACGGTCATAGTGCAGTGGGTAAAGTGCTGGGCCTGGAGTCAGGAAGATGCATCTTCCTGAATTCAAATCTGGCTTCAGATACTTACTAGCTGTGTGACCCTGGGCAAGTCATTTAACAGTTTGCTTCAGTTTTCTCATCTATAAAATGAGCTGGAGGAGGAAATAGCAAACCACTACTGTATTTTTGCCAAGAAAAACCCAAATGGAGTCACAAAGAGTTGGACACAATTGAAAAACAACTGAACAACAATCACAAATCTACATAGTGTGTATGTATATGTTTGTGTACAGACAGTATACATATATGTTCCTGTAAAATAAAAGGACAAAGAAATCTTTCATATTCTCTTTAGACAATTCTACCTTATTAGACGCAAAATTCTTTTTCATTAAGATTTTCCCCAAATTATTAAAATCTCGGAATGACAGAATCTCAGAGTTGGGAGGAACTTCAGAACTGTCCAGAGTTAGTAAATACTTGAATACTTTCTCTTCATAATTCCATAGTACTTCCTATCATTTACCAGAGAAAGTAGAGTGATGCGTATTCTTCTAGGGCTGTCTGCTTTTTTATTTTTATTTTTTAAACATATTGGACCAAGCCCATTTTAGGGTTTTCTAAAGAAACTGAGCAGAATAAAAATATGTTCTTAATTTTCTCATGTCTGATGAAGATGAGAGGATTGAGAGGAAAGAGAAAGCAAACAGCAGAATGGCCTTAAGGATTTGCCAGACTACAAGTGTGGAACTTTGTCCTCCTCCGACTGAAGACTTTTGTTTCTATCCTCATCACGACAGCTCCATCACTTTTGAGGCCAGGGTTTGAGGACAGCTTTCTTCCTCCCCAGCAAAAAGCTGCAAAAACATGATAGCTCTCTCTGTGTAAATGGATCAAGTTGCTTTTCTTAAATTAGGAGTCACAGAATTCCTTTTTCTCTCTTCCTGTTTCCTTTTGATCTTGCTTTCATGAGGGCAGTCATTGTGTGCCGATTCTGTGCGGCTCTCAAACAGCTGCCAGACCCCTTAACTTGGAGCTGACACGAGTGGTGCAGCTGTTGGGTCAACATGTTTTTCTCTTTTGTTTGATTAGCAGCTTGGTTTGGCCAACTATTAAATCCAGGTGACACGAAACACTGAAAGAAAGGCCGTTGACCAAGAGCCAAAGACTAAAGTGGGCATTGGCACAAGTCATCCTCCTTCCAATTCCCCCACTCCCAGTGAATACCACATCTATGTCCCAGCTCCACCATTTTCACCCAACCCTCTGCTAAAATACTAAGGATTCTGTTATGTCCCTTTGGCACCCACTACAGTGAGGCTGAAGAAGGTGATGAGAATAAACATCAACAAAAGATTGATCACATTGAAGAATGAAGAGGGAAAGCCACCTCCTTCCTGTCATGCTTCCTACTTAGGGCTTGCAAAAAGAAAAGAATTAAAGAATTTTCATGTGATCCTTCTTCATGCAAAAAGTGAACATGGAAATAAAGTGAGGAAGGAAATAATAAATTATAAAATCTATCACTGAATATCCTGACCGCTGCAACTTTTGAGTTGATTTTGATTTGTTTTTTATTTTTTAAAAAATAAATGAGAGTTGAAGTATATTGAAAACTCCTTCAGGGTAGGACGTTTTTTAGTTTTGTGTTTATATCTCCAATGCCTAGTACAGTGGATGATGCTGTTCAGCCATTTCAATCACATCCAACTCTTTATGACCCCATTTGGAGTTTTCTTGGCAAATATACTGGAGTGGCTTGCCATTTCTTTCTCCAGCTCATTTTCCAGATGAGGAAACTGAGGCAAACAGGGTTAAGTGACTTGCCCAGGGTCACACAGCTAATAAATAGATGCAATTTAATAAATAGCTGTAGAATGAATTCATACTCAATATGAAGAAGATGTTTGCTCTGTTCAATAATTTATATTCCGCAATTAACTAGATTCCCCTTAAGGTCATTATCATTTCCCAAATCTATAGTTTTATGATTCTAACTTTAACCGTAGAAAGCATTAATAAGCTAGAGAAGGGACAAAATGACAGGGACGATCACTGGCCTTGGAATATCTCAATTTCTTTTTCCTTTTTTTTGGTGAGGCAATGGGGTGAAGTGACTTGCCCAGGGTCACACAACTAGTGTCACATGTCTGAGGCGAGATTTGAACTCCGGTCTTCCTGAATGTAGGACTGTATCTACTGCATCATCTAGCTGCCATCTAGCTGCCCCCTAACATCTCAATTTTTAAGGCAAGCATTTCAGACAAGGAGGCCCTCATTTTTCTTTTATTATTTGATCCATTAATAAGTAGTACAGAGAAAGAGGGAAAAAGAGTATTTTTTTCTTCTTTTTTTTACATTCAGACATATGCATGTTTAATCTGAATCTGAACTTTTCATTAAGCTCCAAGGACCTATTTCAAGTTTAAAGGATTTCACTGAAGTGGGTACTATATATAAATGCTAAGTTCAATGCAGCTTTAGAATCTATCAGAATACTTCATTTGAGGGTGAGGAGTTTAATGACTTAATTCTGCTAATGAAACATCCACGTGAGTTTCTAAAGTGTTTTTGGGTCCACTTCCAGTCCCTTCTGGAGTAAATTTCTTTATTATTGTAGCATTGACTTAGTAGTCACAGCTATAGAGGGGAGGGATGGAAAGACTCAGGGGCAGGACGAAAAGTGCTGTCTTTGAGTCTCAGCCTCTCTGCTTTTGGTAAAAGGACTTGTGGGTAGAGGAACCAGGAAGCCAAGCAAACAGGAAAAGGGGTCATGGCAACTGAAAGATGTGAGGCAAGTGGAAGAAACGTGATCACAAGTGAGAGACAGCCCTCGGTCACGGAGAGTAGATCCATCTGCTGGCCACTGTGGTGGGTCTGTCTCTGGGGTGCAGAGGAGGAGAAATAGGTGATCGCTTTCTTTTTCTACCTTCTTCCTCTCTCCCCAGGGACAAAGTCCATTCTCTCTGCCAGTGATTTCTTCAATTTAACTTCTTTTCCTCTGGGCATCAGAAACCTTAGCTTTGGCTTGAAATACATACATTGTTTTCTCAGCTTTCAACAGTGATAAAAATATCAGCCCACATACTTTAGCTGTTGTTCTTCACTTACTGTTCATGTGTCTAGATGAAGGAGAGGAGAGACGGGAAAAGGGAGAGAATAATTGAAAATGACAATGACAACAAATACATCCTCTACTTAGAAACTATTAGGCCATTGGATCTGGATGCTTAGATCTCTTTCATATAGAGCCTGGACAAATGAGGGAGGGAGGTCTGCATTATACTTTGCACATCTGGCTAGAATCTGGGATCAAAATACCTCTAAGAAATGTGAACCAGCATAAACCCACCACTCCCAAAAGGTAAAATGTGAGCATTTCTTTTTCATTTTCCTTTCATTTTTTTTCCCCTACTTGACAGGAACCATTCAGTGCTCTAGGTGGCTGGGTTTCAAAGAAAGCCTCCCCCACCACCCCCCAATCATGAGGATGAGTTGCTTAGGAAAGTTTCTAAAGCCAAGCCACTGAAGTGGAATGAGTTGAAAGTTCTGCTGAGGGTGAAAAGACAGAAGAAGGCATGGGCAGGCAGGTGTGTCCAGATAGGTCCTCAGGCTCAGGGGGTGATTGACAAACTAACTGATTTGGTCACAAATATCACCTGCTACTTACACTGTCATCAAAAAACCCAATTATTTCCATATACAAATAAGTCCAGAAAGATAATTGTATATGAAATCATGTTTATTATTATTGTTTATTTATTATTATGTTTATTATTTATTATTGTTTTAAATATATATATGGATGTATGTATGCACACACAAAATTTAATGTGGCAATACCAACACTGCCATACATGTGTGTGTCTCTTGAACTTCAGTCTGTACTGTTCTGTGTTTTATTTTTTAAATAAATGTTATTGATTTTTTTTACATTACCAGATTTTCTCCTAGTATTCCTCTCTCTTTACTATCCCAGACAGCCATCCCATATAACAAATAGTATTTTTTTTAAAGAAAGATGAAAAAGGGGGAGAGAAAAAAATCAGCAAAATCAATCAATCCTTTGAAAAAGTCTGACAATATTTGCAATGTAATAGATCCATACAACCATGGACCTCCTACAGTAATGAAGAAGTGGGGTAGGAGTGGTCTTCTCATATCTCTTCTTAGGAAACATGATTGTCCTTTGTAATTTTGCAATATTCACTTGGGATTGTTCAGTGATTGTTCTTCCCATTTACATTATAGTCACTGTGAATATTATTTTCTTGGCTCTGGTTACTTCACTCTACATCAGTTCATGTAGATCTTTCCATGCTTCTCTATATTCACCACATTCATAATTTCTTATAGCACAGCAATATTCCATTGCCTTCATGTACCACAATTTGTTTAGCTAGTCCCTAACTGATAGGCATCTATCCTGTTTCTAATTCTTTGCTATTACCAAAAAAAGTGCTGCCATAAATAAATGTGTGTATACATATGTATATATGTATATATGTATACATGTGGACTGTCTTACTTTCTTCTTAACAGTTACCTTCTTGGGGCATGGTGGAATCTCTGGATCAAAGGGTATAAATATTTTAATCATTTTATTTGCAAAATTCCAAATTGCTTTAGAAAATGGTTGTACTAATTCATAACTCCACCAACAATACACTAATGTACTTATCTTCCCATAGTCCCTCCAATATTAACTATTCCTATTTTTTGTCATTTTTGTCAATTTGCAGAGTATAAAGTTTTGAAATCTCAGGGCTGTCTTGATTAGTATTTCTCTTATTAATAGTGATTTGGGGCATTCTTTTATATAATTATTAATAGTTTGCAATTCTTTTAAAAACTATTTATTCATATCCTTTGGCCACTTATCTTTTAAGGAAAAGCTTATACACATGTGTGTGTACAATATAACAAATATACTGCAATGCAATATGTTATATTTATATATTGCAAATATATTATGAAATAAATTGTCACATATACATATACATATGAAGATATACGTGTATATGTATGTGTTTATATATGTATATATATACATATGTATATGTATAGTTTTGGATAACAAACCCTTGTATGAGAATTTTGATACAAATATTTTTCCCCATTCAACTGCTTCCCTTCATTTCTTAGATGAATATTTTGTAAAGAAGCTATCTATTTTATACTTTGTATTTATCTCTGTCCTTTGTTTCATTAAAAATGCATCTCCTACCCATGGCTGTGAAAGGTATAAATGATCTTCTCTTCCAATATTTTTAGGGTATGATCTTTAATATTAGGGTTACATATCCATCTAATATTTATTATGAACTCTTATTTTTAATGGTGCATGAATATTTCATTAAAATTTCATTGATGCACTTTTATTTCTTTTTAAATTTTACATCATTATCACTATCCCCCTTAACTTACCCCTTGTCCATATAAAAGCCCTCTTTTTTTTTTTTTAACAAGTATGGTCCAAAAAAACCCATGTTGTTTATCATGTCTTAAATTGTCCCATTCTGCACACACATCTCTAACCAAAAGACGGGAGACGTGCTTCATCATCAGACTTTTGGACCTGTAATTATCTCTTGCACTGGTCAAAGTTCTTCAGGTTTTTGAAGTAGTTCTCCTGGTTCTGCGCATTTCCTATCTATCAATTTCTATCACTTCATACATCTTCCCAGGTTTCTGTGAATCCTTCCATTTCTTAAGCTCACTCATATCATATTCCTTTACATTCATATACCACAATTGGTTCAGTTATTCCCCAGTTGATGAGCACTCACTTATTTTCCAGATCTTTGGAACATCAAAAAGTGCCACTGTGAACATTTTTATATGTATGCATTTTCCTCCCTCTTTGATATCATTGGGGTATAGGCCCAATACTGACACCACTGAGTAAAAAGATACAAAAAGTTTAGGCATTTTGGAGGTATAATTCCAAATTTCCAGAATAGTTGGAGCAGTTCACCATTCCACTAACAATGAATTAGAGTGCTTGTTCTCTGAGCTTTTCAACAATTATTATTTTTCTTTTTTGGCATCTTTGCTAATATGACTTATACAAGGTAGAACAGAAATAGTTTTAATTTGTATGTATGTTATTAATCATTTAGAGCATTTTCAATGTGTTAATTGATAACTTGGATATCTTCCCTTAAGAATGAACTATTCCCATCCTTTAGGCAATTTTTTTTAAAATTGAGAAATGGCTTTTGTTCTTACAAGTTTATATCAATTCTCTCTCTCTCTCTCTCTCTCTCTCTCTCTCTCTATCTCTCTCTCTCCATATATATATATACATATACATATATATATATTCACATATACATACACATGCATATGTATGTATATCAGAAAAACTTTCAGAACAGATTTTTTTTCTCAGTTATCTAAATCTAACTCCAATGATTTTTGTGCAAAGATGCTTCTATCCTATTTAATTAAAATTGTCCATTTTAATCTCCTGTGATCCTCTCTATTGGGTTTGGGTTTTTTTTTTTTTGGTCAAGAACTCTACCCTTTCTGTGATTATAAAAAGCATATCCTTCCATTTGCCTCTGGTCATGTATCCATTTTAGAGATTATTATAGTATATGAGGTGTTGATTTTAGCCTAATTCTCCCAAATTGCTTTACAATTTCCTGAAAAAAAAAGCATCTTTATCTGAATAGCTGGTATCTTCAAGTTTATTGAACACTATGCCTTGCATAGTACATTATGTTTACAATTGCTTCTGAATCATGTGGATTTAATCTGGTCCCTTGATACTATTTTTTAAATCAGATTGTTTTAATGATTACAACTTTGTAGTATAGCTTGAGATCTGGTGCTATTAGACTTCCTTCCCCCCACTCTCCTTTTATTTCTTCATTACTTCCCCTTAATATTCTTGAACTTTTGTTCTTCCAGATGAATTATTATAATTTTATTTGTTTTATAAAGTTATCTTTTGGTAGTTGAATTAGGTAGATGCTTGGATTTGTATATTGATTTAGGTAATATGAACATTTTTATCATATTAGCCTAACTCAACCACGATTAATGAATTAATCTCCAATTAATGAAATCCTCCTTTATTTCTCTACATTTTTGTAACATATTCTTATAATACCTGTAATACATTAATATAATTTTTTGACTGTTTTTATCCTCTCAATTTCTTTTTCTTGCCTAATTGCTATAACTAATATTTCCAAAAAAAAATGTAAAAAATATTATGGTGACAATATATATCCTTGCTTTACCCCAATCTTAATGAGAAAGGCCTTCAGCACATCTCCATCATGCTAACTCAGGTTCAAATAGATTTTGTTTACTATATTAAGGAAAAGTCCATTTATCTTAATGCTATCTATAATTTTGCCAAGAACCAAAGCCAACTGCTCTAGTTTAATATAAATAACCTACCTTTTTCTTCTTTTTGAAAATTGGGACGTTTCCCTTCTTTAGGTCTGTGACACTTATACCATCCTAATTGTTGTTTCAAAGATTCATTAACAGTGTTTCTGCATTCATGTGAACAGATCATTTCATTATCCTAGCATCTGGCTCATAAATACCTCATGACTTGAATTCATTGAGGGATGTTAGATATTCTTATATCACTTCCTCATTTCTTGGATTTTAACCAGTTTTGTCATAGATTTTCCTGGCTAAAGACCATTCCATAAACAGAGAAAAGAAAATTAAAATAGGGATTAAGTAGTTTTTATTTTCTGTACATCATCCATTATCATCAATTCCATCAATATGCATATCCCTTCCTTTGAGCTTTCACTTACTCATGACATAGCTTTCAAAGTTCCTTCTATTGTCTTTATCATTTTTCTCAAGTCCAATCCAAAAACGGATTTGGTTTCTCTGATGCTATTCTTCATAAGACTGAAACATGCTTTTGGATTTGCGTCAGAAACTTTTCCTATTTCTATACATATCTTTTGAAGACTGAAGTTGATTTAGTTCCCAATGCATCTATACCAATGCATATGTAAATAACAATATTTGTATAACACTTTAAGATTTGCGATTTACAAATATTACTTCACATTATCATCACAACAACTCTGGAGAGGTACATGCTATCATTATGCTCATTTTTTAGATGAGGAAACTG